TTCTGAGCTCCCAGAATGGGCCTGGGGCTGGCAGGGCCCTCTCAGCCCCGTGCATGCCCATTTGGGGGTGTTTTGGGAACAAACCTTCCATCAGCTCCCCGGGTGTGTGTGAGAGGTTCTGCTGCTGCTCTGCAAGGCAGCCCCGCACAGATCCTCATCCAATCCCCCTCGCCTTTATTTGCTGAGAAGTCACCCCAGCAGGGGCTGCTCCATAAAACCACATTTGGGCATTTCCCCGGCAGGAAATCACCACCTTTAGGGAGCTTTTTGAGCAGAGAGGTCTCTCCTGAAAGCCCCACATTGAAACTCAGCAAACACCGAGTAACAGCTCTGGGGAAACGGAGCTTTCCTGGGAGGGAGGCTGGATTGGAAACCCTGGGAGAACGGGCAGAGAGAACTCCTAAAATGAGATAAAGGAGGATGAAACCTGCTGTAGCCTTGTGCCCACATTCCTGAGCGTGCTGCCGTGGGGGTGTGTGCTCCTTTTGGGATTTCCTGTGCCCAGGGCGTCCCTGCTGGTGTCCCCATGTGGGCTTTGGATGCTCCTTTTGGAGCTGTCAGGCTCCAGTTTCTCAGCCTTTACCCCCCACTCACTGTTTATTTTGCCCCCAGGGTTAACTCTTGTCCTTTGTAAGATTTGTGGGGTTTCTACCAGCAGGCACAGATTTTCTGTGGTTATTCAATTATCAGCACTGGATGGAATTCTCTGCTGCTGGAGCTGCAGGTGTGATTTTTCATCAGGGGCCGTTTCTATTAAATTAGAGGATGCTCCTTCCTTGGTTTCAGTTTCCACTCAATCTTGTGGTTTTACACTCAAATTAACCTCAAATTTCTTGGTTTGCCTGCATGTCTGGGCTTTTCCACAATTCTCTTTTTGTTCTGCTGATTTTTAACCACTGAGAATCAGGATAACCTGTCCAAAACCAGATGAATACCAGGTTTAGCCCACACAGAGCCCATTCCTTCAGCCTTGCAAACCCCAGGCAGTGGCACTGAGTTATTCACTGCACCTCGAGGTGCAAGCAGCAGAATCCTCAAAGCACTGGGGGCAGACACATTTCCCTTATTTCTCCACTCATTTTCCCAATTTTTATCCCTTTTGCCTCAAATTCCCAGCTGATGCTCTACGGGAGTCACCCAATTAAAAGTTTCTTTTCATCACATTTCAAATGAGCTCTCTGCCATCTGACCTCCCCTCCAATGCAATATTCCCATCAGAAAATCACCTGAATCAGCAAAAACCTCTGCTGGCTGAGCTTGCAGCTCTTTCCCCACAGTGACCTGCTTGGCCACCTTCCCATCAGGGCCAGGGTTGCAGAATTTATGCCTCATTTTCCACTCCTGCTCTTTGTCCAGCAGTGGAGGGAGAAAGGGAGAAGAGCAGAATTAATTCCTGCTGTAATCTTATAGTCAGTCTGAGATATTCCTCAATTTCAGGATTGCCCAAACCAGCTCAGCAGCAGAGCTGGGTGCACTGAATTCAGACACAATTTTAAGGCTCTTTTTGGATTTTCCAGGCCTGTGTGCACTGAGCTTGTGTGCACTGAATTCAGGCACAATTTTAAGGCTTTCCTTGGATTTTCCAACCAGCTCAGCAGCAGAGCTGCATGTATTGAATTCAGGTACACTTTTAAGGTTCTTCTTGGATTTCCCAAGCCTGTTCAGCAGCAGAGCTGTGTGCACTGAGACAGTTTTAAGGCTTTCCTTGGATTTTCCAGACCAGCTAAGCTGCAGAGCTGTGTACATTGAATAATAGAAGCAGCCTTAAAATTGTGCCTGAATTCAGTGAATTCAGGTACAATTTTAAGGCTCTTTTTGGATTTCCCAAGCCTGCTCAGCAGCAGAGCTGTGTGCACTGAATTCAGACACAATTTTAAGGCTTTCCTTGCATTTTCCAAACCAGCTCAGCAGCAGAGCTGTGTGCACTGAGCTCAGTCCCAGGGTCACAGGATTGTCACTAGTGATGTCAAAACAAGAGCTGCTGAGGATCTTTCCACTGTTTTTTTTTTATCTCGTTTTAATTAATTCTGAACGAGCCTTCTGTTAATGAAAGTGCAAAGTGCTGTGCCAACCCTGTGGCACCAAGTTTCCCAGTCTTTCCAAATTAATATCTGGCAAAAGTCAGTGGTACCAACAACCCCAAGTGTGCCAGAACCATGGGGAGCAAACCTCATCTAGAAAATCCAGTGTTTGCAGCAGACATCAATTGTTTTGGTGCCTCAGAGAGAAAATAACTTGACCCTAATGAAGACAAGAGTGGCAGGTGCTGCTTTAGCTCACTAGAAATTTAAAAAATGAAATGCACATATTCTTTATTTTGTATTAATACACTGTAACTGCTTTACAGAGTCCAGCAGATCAGTTGCATGTAAATACTACAGATGAACTTGCCAAACTGGAGCTCACAAAACTAGTGCATTTATCCCAAAGCAGAGACTAAACCCTCTAAATCCTTAAAAAAATACATTAAAGAACATACCACACACACACATATTGCACTTTTCTCCGTATGAAATTTGTACCCCAGATACATCACACCAAAGTCTCTTCAAAGGAGGCTGTAGTACAAGATAATAAAGCTAATAATTACTCTAACAGTAGTGTACACAGTTCTCTAATGTTAGAACAGAAGAGATTGGAACAAAAAAGCCACTTCAAAGGAGTGGGAAGTGGTGCCCAATGGATCCTCTCTGTATGAGAAGGCTTCAGAAGCCTTTTAGTCCTAATTGGCTTAAAGGAAATTACATGAAATGTTAAATATGCTTTTGGCTGAGGGGAAGGAGTCAGTCTAAACTACATTAAAAAATGCTGCAGCTTCCCCTGCCCAGCCCTGCAAAGCTCCGAGGAGCTCACGCTGGTTGGCACATCCTGATAAATGAACTGCAGAGCTCCAGAACGGAATCATTTTTATCTTCTGAGCCCTGAAACGTGCGGGCTCCTGGAGCTGGGTGGGGAAGGAAGTGGGTGTTGTTCTGGCAGCCCCCAGCCCTCCCTGGCCAGCTCTGAGCACAGGCTCCACGCTGCACCAGGTGTGGGCTGGGCTCTGTGGTGGGGCAGGGGCAGTGCAGGGCCAGGGCTCTGTGTGTGCTCCTTGCTCTGCTCTGTCCTGCTGCAGATTCTGTCAGGCTCCTTCCCTCCAGCTGTGGCTGGGTCTGGGTGTCCCAGGCTGGCAGGCAGGTTTCCTTCTGGAGGGAAACCACACGACAAAACCCTTTTCTCTTTAGAGCAGCTTTCTGGCCATCTTCACCTCGTGATCCCTGCTCCTCCAGCTCTCCTTTGCTGCTGCCTCGAGGATCCCTGTGCTAGCAGAGGCAGAAGCTGAGCACTTTTGGCTCAGGCCAGCGTCAGAGAAGGTTCCAGAGTCGTCTCTGCCTGCCCACACAGGGCCCAGGTGCCTTCTGTCACCCGTTAAACCCTCTTCCCTTCACACAGGGTGCCCAAACCCCTCCTATTCCATGGTTTAATGTGGTCTTATTGCTGTAAATGCTGACTTTCACCTCCCTCTGCCCTGGGGATTTGCAGTATCAAAGACCAAACCTTCCAGCAAACTCTGGTGTGATCAGCACAGTTCCTCCCTCTCTCTCTTTGTGCTTTGATGGAGCTGCAATTGTGCTTAATGTTTGCTCAGGAAAGGGCTGGCCTGGCCCCTGGCCTGGCCCACGACACCTCAGGGTCAGAGCCAAACCTCAAACTGGAGATCTCAGCTTCCTGCAGCTCCCTGAGCCTCCCCCCTCCTGGGACTTGGGTTTCATGAGTGGAAAGTTGTGGAGAGACAGCTCCGGGTGGAGCTGGAGCATCCCTTGAAATGGTTGACACATCAAGAGCTGGATGCTGAAATATTGCTGTGATACTTTCAGTGTCCTATATACACGAGCCATTCAAGCACTGAGGAAGTTAAACATGTCCCACATGGTGGGACCTGTGCTCTGAAGGGACTTTGGCCACAGCAGGGATATAAATGGGGTATTGTCTACTTTCTTCAGAAAAAAGCATATAGGCTGATAAAGAACTGAAAAAGGCACAGCACTATCACTTCACAGGGGTGTTTTTTTTACTTTTTATAAGCTCATTGTTTGTTTTTTTTTTTTTATCCTTTAAGTTCTAAAACCCTAAATAATTGTCCAAATATACAAAGCTCAAGAAACCACCAGCAACACATACTGCAAATTCAAAACACAGTTTTGTTTGCTTGTTTGTTATTAAAATGCAACCCAGGGACAGGTGGATCCTTTCCAGCCAGCAGAATTCCTCCTGAAAAAGGGGGTGATTTTAAAAGCCACCCAGGTGGATTTTAATTTTTTTTTTTTAAATTCCATTTCCTGCAGCTCTTGCTCTCTCTCTCATGGCTCTCTTACCTTCTGTCTCTGTTGGCTCATCCTTGATCCTCCAGAATTCCAATCCCCACCCAGAGGTCTCTCCACACGATCCCAGGTTCCTTGTGACAAAGTCCAGGTCCAGGTTCCTTCAGCAGACAGTGAAGAGCTCCTTGGCAGCTTTGGGAAATCCTGTTTGGGTGCCAGCAGGAGGAACTGGAGGCTGCCTGAGATGCTCAGGGCTGGCCACAGAGGAATTCCAGAGCAGGAGCTCAACCCAAGTGCAACTTCCCTTGGATTCCACCTCGTGCTCCTGTTCTCCAGAGGATTTCAGCTGCCGTCAGCACAGACCCAAATCTACCCTGAATTTCAGTGAAAACTATTGCTTTTATTGCCAAGAAGTACGAGAAGTGTGCACTCACTCTCCTCTCTCTGAGTGGATGGTGGATGAATGCTGACAAACTCCCCGAATGTTTTCCGAAGGGGCTTTTTCCTTCCTCTGAAATTCTCCTTTTTTGCCTCCTTCCACGCAGACTCTGTGGGATGAAGCTGCTGTTGAACTCCCTGTTCTCCAGCCCCTGCCACTGGGGCCAAACACCTCCTGCTTTTTTATTTTCCTTGCAGCCAGGTGGATTTTCAGTTCCCCTGTCAATCTGAGGGTCGAAAAACTTCGATGGGGCGGGGGGGGGTAGGAACAGGATGGGAAAAAAAAAAAACAACCAAAAACCAACCAAAAAATTCACATGCTTCTCCTTGTGTCCTTCCAGCGTGCCCTGGGTGCTAATTGACCAGGACATAGCCACTGTGCTGGGGATCCACAGCCTCCATCATCTCACAATCAAAGAGTCCAGGCAGCTCCGGCAGGGGCAGGGAGTCGTAGCTGGGCTGAGCCTCTGCAGAGCTGCTCTGGCTCTCAGGCAGTGCCCCGGGGCTCTGGGGGGCAGAGGGGACAGCAGGCAGCTCACAAGTCTGGTAGGGGAACGGGAGGGGCTGTGCTGGCTGGGCCTGCCCCGGGCTGGGCTCCAGCTGCACCTTGGGGAACTGCCTGAGGAAGGGCTCGAAGCGCAGCTGGCCCGAGGAGGGCTCCAGCACGGGGCTCAGGGGCTGCTGCAGGCTGAACTGGGCTGGCTGCTGCTGCTGCTGGGGCTGCTGGGGCTGCTGCTGGGGCTGCTGGGGCTGCAGCTCCTCCGGGCAGGGCAGGGGCAGAGGGCTGGCCCGGGGGTACGAGCTCTCCGCTATCTGCATCTGGTTAAAGTAGGCCTGCAGCTGGGACTGCTTCTGCAGGAACAGCCTCTTCTGGTGCAGCCTGCAGGCAGGACAGAAAAAAATGGTTATTTTGGCCATTTGGGCCACTCACACAGCTCCAATCCCTGGGCAATCCTGCTCAATGACTGCTGCAGCACAGCAAAGTTACCCCCTTTCAGTGTTACCAAACTGTCCTCTGATAACTCTATCACACATCTCCTCTGATAACTCTATCACACATCTCCTCTCATAACTCTATCCACATCTCCTCTGATAACTCTATCACACAGCTCCTCTGATAACTCTATCACACATCTCCTCTCATAACTTTATCAGTTTTTTAAACTAACCCCATGCACGGTTTAATTCAGTTTGTTCAGAATGAGATGCATTTTTTGTGTTTGTATTTTAAAGCCTTCTGTTCACTGCTCTGGGGTATCTGGGAGCTGAAGATCGGGCAGAGAAATTGGTAAACACATGGCAGGACTTGTTCTTGCTTTTAAAAGAAGTTTTGCAGTGAAACTTGCCTTTCTTAGATCATTTCTAAATGGACAAGGAGAGTTCCAGTTCTTTTATTACTCTTGAGAGTAATTTTTGTGCCTAACTTGGGGGATTCTCACCTGTGCTCCTGGAGCTGCTGTTCCAGACTCCGGGGCAGCTCCTTGCAGTAGAGCTGGCAGGTGTTGGGAGCTTTGGAGAGCAGAGTGGGCTTCTGCAGGGAAAGCAGAGCTGCTTTAAATGCCTTTTGATTTAATCAATGAGTCCAGAAAGCACAAGAAACATTTTCTGCCCTTGTAACTGCCCAGCTGTCCACAGAGCCACTCTCTAAACCCATAATGCTGCCCATTGGCTTCTGACCCTTAGGCAATATTTTTGCAGGAGAGATTATGCCATAAAAATCCATGGAAAGCTTCTTCCCAAGTGGAAGAAGCTGGGAAACTGGGGAAAAACCAGTTTTTTATGAACTAAAGGTATATGAAAATGGAAATCCAGAAATGCTGGAGCCAGAAAATAAACTGCCCTTTTGCACCTTAAAAAAGCAGCGTGTGGGCATCGTGTTATTTCATGTCCTACAGTGACAGGGAGGGGCAGGGTGGGATTCAGAGGGCGGGGCAGGGCAGGGTGGGATGGGCAGGGTGGGGCAGAGCAGGGTGGGGCAGGGTGGGATGGGCAGGGTGGGGCAGAGCAGGGTGGGATGGGCAGGGTGGGGCAGAGGAGGGCGGGGCAGGGCAGGGTAGGGTGGGGCAGGGTGGGATTCACAGGGGACAGCAGGGCAGGGTGGGGCAGGATTGGCAGTGTGGGATTCCCAGGCAGGGCAGTGTGGCATTCACAGGGAGGGCAGTGTGGCATTCACAGGGAGGGCAGTGTGGGATTTGCAGGGCAGGGCAGTGTGGCATTCACAGGGCAGGCAGGGCAGTGTGGCATTCACAGGCAGGGCAGTGTGGCATTCATTCACAGAGCACAGCAGTGTGGCATTCATTCCCAGGCAGGGCAGTGTGGCATTCATTCCCAGGCAGGCAGGGCAGTGTGGCATTCATTCCCAGGCAGGGCAGTGTGGCATTCATTCCCAGGCAGGGCAGTGTGGCATTCACAGGGCAGGCAGGGCAGTGTGGCATTCATTCCCAGGCAGGACAGTGTGGCATTCCCAGGGCAGGCAGGGCAGTGTGGCATTCATTCCCAGGCAGGGCAGTGTGGCATTCACAGGCAGGGAGGGCAGGGCAGTGTGGCATTCACAGGGAGGGCAGTGTGGGACTTGCAGGGAGGGCAGTGTGGGATTTGCAGGGCAGGGCAGTGTGGCATTCATTCCCAGGCAGGGCAGTGTGGCATTCATTCCCAGGGCAGGGAGGGCAGTGTGGCATTCCTTCCCAGGCAGGGCAGTGTGGGATTTGCAGGGCAGGGCAGTGTGGCATTCATTCCCAGGCAGGGCAGTGTGGCATTCATTCCCAGGGCAGGCAGGGCAGTGTGGCATTCATTCCCAGGCAGGGCAGGGGTACCTGCAGCCGGTGTTTCAGGTACTGAGTCTCCAGGCTCTGCCTTCGGGCCAGCAGCGGGGGCTGTGCACCACTGGGGAAAGCAGCTGGAGCCTCCTGCTGCTGCTGCTGCTGCTGCTGCTGCTGCTGCTGCTGGGAGCCTTCCTCCTGCAGGGGAAGAGGAGCAAGCTGAGAAAAGGCTCCCTTAAGCCTTGCTTTGAGGGTTTTCCCTGCCAGAGGTTCTGTTGTGCTCCTGTTGCACTGCAAACGAGTCACTGGGAGCTCTTTAACCCTCACTCTGCACATCGATCTGTGTGTAACTGCAATCTGCTTCTTGCAGTTGTGCCTCCAGCAAGAAAAGGTGTCATTGGCCTTTGCTAAATCCCCAACACCCCTCAGACTGAAAGCAGTGACTGTTGGGTTTGGGAAGCTGGCAGAGCCCCTCACTGACACCCAGGGGTGGGCAAAGGCTGCGGATTCTGCAGTCTGGGGAAGGCAGAAAGGAGAACAGCACATTTAATCTGTCCATCAGCTCTTCCCAGATCTCCACACCACCTCATCCTCTGCTGATCTGTCCCACAGCACTGAGATGGAGCTCGAGTTCTGCTTTAATTACCTGTGCAGGGCTGTTAATGAGGTCCTGCAGCTGGGTGGCAGCTGATGTCAGGGAAGGCTCTTCCTCTGATCCCATCTGCTCATACAGCAGCTGCACTTTGTTCAGCTCCAGGATTCCTTTGGTTCGTGCCAGGTTCTGGAGGTGCTGCCTAAATGCTACAATTCCTGGAGAGGAGAGGAATGAAGAGAAGAGAAGAAAAAAGAAGAGAAAAGAAGAGAAAAGAGCAAAACCCCCTTGTCAGAATAATCTGATTTTCTGGTTAGCACAGCAGATAAACTGAGTGATAACTGAGCCACAGCTGAGCACAGAGGGCATTTCCTGCTGTGCCTGGCTGTCACTGCCATTAAAGCAGGCTATTGAAAGCCCTGCTTGGTGTTGAACAGAGGAGTTACCTTGTGTGAGGGAGGTGTCGGAGGCGCGGCGGCCCTCGCGGAAGCTGACGGGGGAGCGGTTGTGAGCCTCTCGTTTCTGGCAGCTCAGGACCTGCATGGCTGGGTTGGCAGGCCTGAGCCCCAGGAAGGGGGAGGTCACCCCTGGGGGCTGCTGGCTGCTCAGCACCATCTCCTTCAGGGAAGGGGTCTCGCCCAGGAATTTGAGGTCCCTCTGCACGGAGCCCATGTCGTACTCCGAGTCGATGCTGCCCAGCGAGGAGTTCTCATCCAAGGAATAGACCTTCCCTGGGACAATAAAAACCCAAAAAGCAGCATAAAAGTGAGAATCAGCACCACTGACTCCAGCTACTCCTGCCAACAGTGGCCATCTTAGAGCGAACATCCAAAGAAATCAATTTGGACAAGGGAATTGTCAAGTGAAACTTGCAGTGCAATAATGGGGATTTGCTGCTGGGTTTTTGCAGTACCTTGCAGCAGCCAGACACTCTGCAGATGTTCACTGGAAAGGGTTTAGGGGCTTTTTTAATCCTGACAAAACTGTAGCCTGAAAGGCTTGGTCACCTCACTGGTGCTGGAGTCCAGAGGGTTTTATTTCCCCACTGTTCTCTGCCAGCTCATCTTTAGGGGATGAATAATACTTTGATTTGATGATTTGGGGACATTCAGTTGAGAAAGCAGCTGATCTTGCCACATTTCCCAGCAGCTTTTGGGGTTTTGCATGAGTTTAATCACCTGTAAATTTGCTGCTCTGATTTTATACCATCTCTAAAGCAGATTTTGGGGTATTTTGTGGTGTTTTTTTTTCCCTTTGTCTTTCCTAGTCAATACAAACTGTCTTGTACTCATCCCTCATAAACCCTGATCAGCCTGAGCGCTGAGGCAGAGCACGAGCTTTGAGCTGAGCTGTACCTGTGCCTGGCACCATCACCAGCTGGTTGGTGACCTCAGCCAGGGTGTGCCTCCTCTTGCCCCCTCGAGCCGCCTGCAGGGCAGCGAAGGCCTGGGCCGGGTCCTCCTCTGCCTCTCCTTCTGCCTCGATCCCTTCATCAATGGAGGTTTCCATCATGCTGGAGGGCAGGGACTGGCATCCTTTCCTCATCACCACGGGGGGCACGGGGTCCAGCAGGCAGCCATTCACCTGGGGGCACAGGGACAGCTCTGTTTGTGCCCAGCTCTGCTTGTGCCCAGCTCTGTACCCACCTTTGTGCCCAGCTTTGGTTTGTGCCCAGCTCTGTTTGCACCCACCTTTGTGCCCAGCTTTGGTTTGTGCCCAGCTTTGGTTTGTGCCCAGCTCTGTTTGCACCCACCTTTGTTCCCAGCTCTGTTTGTGCCCAGCTTTGTTTGTGCCCAGCTCTGCTTGTACCCAACTTTGTGCCCAGCTTTGGTTTGTGCCCAGCACTGTTTGTGCCCATCTTTGTGTCCACCTTTGTTTGTGCCCAGCTCTGTTTGTGCCCACTTTTCTTTGTGTCCACCTTTGTTTTGTGCCCACCTTTCTTTGTGCCCAGCTCTGTTTGTGCCCATCTTTGTGTCCACCTTTGTTTTGTGCCCAGCTTTGTTTGTGCCTTTCTTTGTGTCCACCTTTCTTTGTGCCCAGCTTTGTTTGTGTCCACCTTTGTTTGTGCCCAGCTTTGTTTGTGCCTATCTTTGTGCCCAACTCTGTGCTCACCTTTGTTCTGTGCTCACCTTTGTGCCCACCTTTCTTTGTGCCCACCTTTCTTTGTGCCCACCTTTGTTTCCTGCCCAAAGAATCACCCCCACAAGCAGGAACTCCCTGGCCTGAAGGCACTTGGGATCTTTAACTCTGCTCAGGTAAGTAAAGCTTGTCTTCATTTCCTATTTGTAATTCCCTTAACACTCAGTTCCCTAAAACTAAATACTCTTATTCCCACAGTTCTGTGCTCTCCAGGACTGGGTGTTTTTGTGGTTTTGTTTTTTTTTTTTTCTTTTTTTTTTTAGTTATTAAAAACTTTGCCAGCTCAGTCACAAGCATAAAATATTTCTGGAATGTGCAATACTGCTGTTCCCCCCTTCCTATACCTCCTGTGCTCATTTATCACACTCAGATAAACACCAGGAAAAAAAAACCCCAGCCTTGCATTTCATCCTTGCAGGGCTGTGCTCAGGAATAACTCCATAAATGCACCTTTTTCCAGCACAACTCCACTTGATTAATGTTGTTCCCCTGCAAACACAGGTTGCCTGGAAAAGCTGTGGAATCTCCCTCCTTGGATTTACCCAGCCTGATAAAGCCCTGAGCAGCCTCCCACAGCTTTGAATCAGAACTTTAAAGGCACCTCCCCAACCTAAACTGCTCCTGGGATTTTAATTCTGGTTTTATTCTCTGAGCCAGTTTGCCATGTACCTTAACTAATTCTTTGCCATATGAAATTATATGGGTTTTAGGGAAAAATATTATTCTATATATTTAATTATTTTTATTTATTATTTATTTTTAATATAGTCAATTACTTTATTATTTATATATTTAAAATGTGTCATTAACATTCTCTTTATTTATATTAGTATTATATATATAAATATAATATGTATATTATTTATATCTATAATATTTTATATATATATATATGTATATATAAAATTATTTATTTATTTATTTATAAATATTTCCATGTCCTGCAGCTTTTGATACCTCTGTCCTATAATTACTGTCCTGCTCCTGCACAATCAGGATCACACTGGGTAAAATATGGATGGAAAAAACACAACCCTTTACCACAAAACCTGGCACTACTGCAGCTGATTTTATGTAAAGCCTTTTTTTGGGAGCCATTCCTGAATTTTCCTCCAAGTTCTTTGGTGTTTTGCAAAGGAGGAGTGTTTGGAAAAGAGCTTTCACTGCATGGACAGCAACTCTTAACAAATGGTCTTGAGGCAGAACTACATGGTAGGAAAATACCAAGAAACAGCAATAAATAATTTAAACAGCAGGAAAATGATGATTCCTGCACGGGAGAACTCTGGCTCTGCTGAGTTTTGACTGAGTGGATTTTACCTCTAAATTTCATTTTTTTTGAACGCCTTCCTTCCCATTTGGGACTTCCCCACTCAAATGCCTGGCACTGATCTGGCAGAAAGGAGGAGCAGAACCCATCCCACGTTGGCTCCCTGCAGATTTCCCAGGGATCAGAGCCTGGAAATCCTTAGTGTTCATGTCCTACAAAAATTAAGAATATTCCCAAGTGCCTTCAGCCCTGACACCTCACTGCTGTCACCAGTTGCTGACCTACCCTGGCCAAACTGCAGCTATAAAGCAAAATAAAGCTGGAAATGTTAATTTTGAAGCGCCTTTGAACTGGTTTGTGCTTTCCAGCTGCCACAGACCACACAAGGAGCCCGAGCTGAGAACCAGGGCCACACTCCTGGTGCTGGGAACAAACCAGGGAGCAATAAACCCTTCAAACTGGCAGGCAGGAAATCAAACCCCAGCTGGCACCAGGCAGCAGAAATGTGCTGAAATTCAAATTATAACGTGGTGCAACATGAGAGAAAACAACAGAGGTTTTATGAGAGTCACATACTTCATAAATGTAATTATTTTAAGCTATTTCCCCTCTCTAACTGCTGACTCCAGATCAGGCTGGAGCTCCTTTTGGACACTTCAGCTGCATCCAGGACTCCTTTGTGTGAGAAGAAGGAGTCTTCAGAGCTCTTGAAAATACATTTTAGAAGGACAAGGGAAGGAAATCCACTTTTTTGGGTTTTTTTCCCCTTTCCAAAAGCAGTGTGGTGAGAATGGAATGAGAGCAAAGAACAGGAGGCAGACGAATGATGAAAAAAGACACAGCTCTGGGGAGTCACAGGGAAGGAGAATTTGGAATACCTACAGCTCTTGATGCTTAAACACTTAAATTTCAGGAAGCACTGCTGTGCTTTTAAAAGAAAACAATATTTTTTAGCTGGAATGATTTCTGAAAAATAAAAATAAATAACAGGGTGATTTCAAGCTGTACCTTTGGTGTCTCAACCCTTTCCTCCTCCATAAAAGCTGCCTCTCCCTGGCAGCTGGAGGGAGGGAAGGAAAAGGTTTCTGCTCCTGAGGCTGAGGGGAGCCCTGGAGACTGCAGCAGCCTTGGGTTTGGGGAATGCAGGTTCACCGAGGGCACCACGGCCTGGGCCTGGAAAACAGAACTGAAAAACTCAGAACTGGAACAGCTCGAGGTGGGGATTGAAAGTCAGGGATGGAACAATGTGCAACCCAGGGCCAAAGCAGAAGTGCAAGATTTATTTCTTGGTTCAGGATGAAGAACATTCTTAGCCTTTTAACTTGGGGGAAAAAAACCCAACATTACCACCCCCAAAACAGCCAGGCCAACCCCAAATGGAATTAAGCTCAGTACTTATTGAAGCTGACTTACTCCCAGCAGCACAGACAGAGTTTGGGGCTTCCTGGTGCTCTAAAATTCCTTTTTTATATTGAGTACAAACCCCCCTGACTGCTACCAGGAGGCTCAGGAATGGTTTCAATGACTTTTTTTGGGAAATTTCCTAAGAATCAGGAGAACAGGGATATCTTCCCTGGTTTTGAGCCTTTAATTCCTGGAGTGCAGTATCCACACCACTGGCCAAGAGGAAACAATCACCCTCAGCCAGGAGCTGTGGTGCCACCATGTGTGAAAACAAATTATCCTTGGGACAACTGGCAGGCTGTAACTGAAGATTAAAGGGGGAATGTGGCTCTAAAATGCAGGAATTCAGTACAAGAGGTGTTTTATTCCTCCTTGTTCATCCTGCTTTTAATCTCAAAACTGATCATTAATACGTCTTAAAATTGATCATTTTCTCTGCAATACTGTGACTTTCTATCACAAGAACCAAGCTTAAACCTGGGTTTAATCTTTGTCACGCTGTTCCTGGACCTGTGTTTTCATAACTGAAGCTGAGCTTCAGCTCAGCAGAACCCAAATATCCCAAAGGGAATCTCTCAGGTCAGCCTTCCCAAGGCATCACTGGGAGACGAGCAATGAGATCCTTGCTAAAACCAAACCCAACATTTGCATTTTAGGCTTCAGGATGAAACCCCACCAAGCAGAGAGGGATTGCAGGTGGGAAGGGAGGGATTTTAGAAGGGAATGAGGCAGAAGAGCCCAGGGGTGAGGAGGGAGCTGACCTTGGCCATGGTCTGCTCGGTGATGGCGCTGGACCAGCATTTTAAGCTTCAGGATGAAACCCCACCAAGCAGGGAGGGATTGCAGGTGGGAAGGGAGGGATTTTAGAAGGGAACGAGGCAGAGGAGCCCAGGGGTGAGGAGGGAGAGGCAGAGGAGCCCAGGGTTGAGGAGGGAGCTGACGTTGGCCATGGTCTGCTCGGTGATGGCGCTGGGCCAGCATTTAAAGCAATTTAAGCTTCAGGATGAAACTACACCAAGCAGCAATATTTGAAATGCAATATTTGCATTTTAGGCTTCAGGATGAAACACCACCAAGCAGTGAGGGATTCTAGATGGGAATTCTAGATGGGAAGGGAGGGATTTTGGAGAGGAATGAGGCAGAGGAGCCCAGGGTTGAGGAGGAAGCTGACCTTGGCCATGGTCTGCTTGGTGATGGCGCTGGGCCGGCATTTTAAGCATTTTAAGGCTCAGGATGAAACCCCACCAAGCAGGGAGGGATTGCAGGTGGGAAGGGAGGGATTTTGGTAGGGAATGAGGCAGAGGAGCCCAGGGGTGAGGAGGGAGAGGCAGAGGAGCCCAGGGTTGAGGAGGAAGCTGACGTTGGCCACTGTCTGCTCGGTGATGGTGCTGGGCCGGCATTTAAAGCATTTTAAGGCTCAGGATGAAACCTCACCAAGCAGGGAGGGATTGCAGGTGGGAAGGGAGGGATTTAGGAAGGGAATGAGGCAGAGGAGCCCAGGGATGAGGAGAGAGAGGCAGGTGAGCCCAATGTTGAGGAGGGAGCTGACGTTGGCCATGGTCTGCTCGGTGATGGCACCAGACCGGCATTTTCAGCATTTTAAGGCTCAGGATGAAACCTCACCAAGCAGGGAGGGATTGCAGGTGGGAAGGGAGGGATTTAGGAAGGGAACGAGGCAGAGCAGCCCCGGGGTGAGGAGGGAGCTGACCTTGGCCACGGTCTGCTCGGCGATGGTGCTGGGCCGGCGCTGGCGCGCGTCCACGCGCTGCTCCACGGGGAAGCTGCTCCTGTGCGACTTCAGCCTCTCCACCAGCAGGTAATAGATGGCAGCAAAGTGGTTGTAGCTCTTGTTCTGCAGGGACTGCAGAAACAAAATCAAAAAATAAAATAATAAAGCACAGCGTAGGAATGTGCCCCCTGTTGATGAAGCGGCCAAATCATTCTCTGTCTGCTTAAAAGGGTGAAAAAGCCCAGGAGTTTCTTTGCCAAGGACACTGCATGGGACCTTTGGGGCTTCACCTCCCACCTGGGGCTGAGGACAGAGGCCAAGAGGTCCAAACTGTACCCAATTGTACCCAATTTGGTACAAAGGTACCTCACAGGACTTTTGGGGCTTCACCTCCCACCTGGGGCTGAGGACAGGTGTGTTGTACCCCCATTTGAGGTGTTTCACCCCAATTTCAGTGTGTTGTACCCCCATTTCAGTGTTTCATACAAATTTCAGCATGTTTCACCCCCATTTCAGTGTGTTGTACCCCAATTTCAGTGTGTTTCTCCCCCATATGAGGTTTTACCCCCATTTGAGGTGTTTTACCCCCATTTCAGTGTGCTTTACCCCAATTTGAGATGTTTTACCCCCATTTCAGGATGTTTCACCCCCATTTGAGGCGTTTTACCCCCATTTTACCCCCATTTCAGGATGTTTCACCCCCATTTCAGTGTGTTTCTCCCCCATATGAGGTTTTACCCCCATTTCAGTGTGCTTTACCCCCATTTGAGGTGCTTCATCCCCATTTCAGTGTTTCACACCAATTTCAGCATGTTTTACCCCCATTTCAATGTGTTGTACCCCAATTTCAGTGTGTTTCTCCCCCATATGAGGTTTTACCCACATCTGAGGTGTTTCACCCCCATTTCAGTGTGCTTTACCCCCATTTGAGGTGTTTCATCCCCATTTCAGTGTTTTTTACTCCCATCTGAGTTTTACCCCCGTTTCAGTGTGCTTTACCCCAATTTGAGATGTTTCACCCCCATTTCAGGATGTTTCACCCCCATTTGAGGTGTTTCACCCCCATTTCAGTGTGTTATACCCCCATTTCAGTGTGTTTCTCCCCCATATGAGGTTTTACCCCCATCCGAGGTGTTTTACCCCCATTTCAGCGTGTTTCAACCCCATTTCAGGATGTTTCACCCCCATTTGAGGTGAAACCCCCATTTCATCCTGTTGTACCCCTTTTTCATCATGTTTTACCCCCATTTCAGTGTGTTTTACCCCCATTTCAGGTGTTTCACCCCCATTTCAGTGTGTTTTACCCCCATTTCACTGTGTTGTACCCCCATTCCAGCATGTTTTACCCCCATTTCAGTGTGTTTCACTCCCATTTCAGTGTGTTTCACCCCCATTTCAGTGTGTTCTAGCCCCATCTGAGTCCTACCTCCACCGTTTTCTGCTGGTCTATGCCCAGGCTGTGCATCAGCCTCAGCACCTGCTCGTTGTACTCCCCCAGGGAGGGCTGGTTCTCCTCTCCTGCTGGGTACAGGATTGGCCTCTGGGCAGGAACCTCCACCAGCATCCACTTGTGCTCCTTGATCTGAGCAATGCTCAAACGTTTGGAGGGGTCCAGGACCAACATTCTCCTGATCAGGTGCTCACACTCTGTTGGAAAGGGGTGAAAAAAAAAAAGAAAAAAGAATAATTTTAAATGTAGTGACCTACCAGCCCAGAGATGCATCACTGCTGCTAAAAACCTCTCAAAACAAGACTAAAAATCACATTAAAGTGGAGAAAAGCCCAAATTCTTCATGGCCAGCAGTGCCATTCCCCCTGCCCACCTTGTGGTTACCCCAGCATTTATTCAAAGCACACCAAAATGAGTAAAACCATTCCACTGTTACCTTCTGACATGAAATAAGGGATCCTGAACCTCCCCTCCAGCACCCTCTGCCTCAGGATGGGCAGGGTGGGTCCATCAAAGGGCAGGGCTCCACACACCAGCACATACAGCACCACCCCCATGCTCTGTGGGGAAAAAAAGGGAATTTTCAGCTCAGTTCCAAGCTCCCAGCAGTGTTTCTAAAGGTTCAAGCCAATTATTTCTGCAGAAATAATTATTTTGTGCTGAAAAAGGGAATTTAGATGCAAAGGAGGGAGCTGCACACGGGTGACTGAGAAGTGAACCCCAACTTCAGCTGAGAATTTGGGATATTTTTATAATTTTATTATTTATTATAGATTCATTATAATATTATTTATTAATATGCTATTAATTAATACATTGTTTATTATATTTATATTATCTACTACTATTTATTATTTATTATTTATTATTTATTTTATTTTATTTTATTTTGTTTTATTTTATTTTATTTTATTTTATTTTATTTTATTTTATTTTATTTTATTTTATTTTATTTTATTTTATTTTATTTTATTTTATTTTATTTTTAATCTCAGCCTTGCCCAAACAAAAGCAACCCTCACACAGCAGCCCCTCAAAGTGAAAAACTGTAATATTTTCCATTTCAAGCCTGTGGGGAGGAGTTTCTATGAGCAGTGAGTTTAGGGGATTGTTCAATGTGAGCAAAAGGGGAAATTCTGGGCTGCAATTGTTTATTCCTGGAAGGATGCAATGAATTGGCAGTGCCAGTGGGAATGTTCTTGCCAAAAAAATCCCAGTGAGAGAACCACAGCAGCCTGGCACAGCACTGGGTCTCTCAAGGGGGAAAAAGCAGGTGTTGACCTCAAAACTTTGTAAAAATGCTGAGATTTTACAATTAAATATAGATTTTTTTTAAAAAGAAAACCCTGTCAAAAGCCAAACTGGGGATTGCTGCAAGCTAAGCACCTTCACAGAATCCTTAAATCAGAAGTGAAGGCGATTTTATTTTAAATACCAAAACCTTCTCAGGTTAAAAAAATCAAATACTCCAGATCTGCAGTTTCAGACAAATCAAATACTCCAGATCTGCAGTTAAGAAAAATTGAATATTCCAAATCTGCAGTTTCAGAAAAATCAAATACTTGAGACCTGCAGCTTCAGAAAAATCAAATATTCCAGATCTGCAGGTTAAGAAAAATTGAATATTCCAAATCTGCAGTTTCAGAAAAATCAAATATTCCAGATCTACAGGTTAAAAAAATCAAATATTCCAGATCTGCAGTTTAAGAAAAATTGAATATTCCAAATCTACAGTTTCAGAAAAATCAAATATTCCAGATCTACAGGTTAAAAAAATCAAATATTCCAGATCTGCAGCTTCAGAAAAATCGAATACTCCAGATCTGCAGCTTAAGAAAAATTGAATATTCCAAATCTGCAGTTTCAGAAAAATCAAATATTCCAGATCTGCAGCTTCAGAAAAATCGAATACTCCAGATCTGCAGGTTAAGAAAAATTGAATATTCCAAATCTGCAGTTTCAGAAAAATCGAATATTCCAGATCTGCAGGTTAAAAAAATCAAATATTCCAGATCTGCAGGTAAGAAAAATCAAATATTCCAAATCTGCAGGTTAAAAAAATCAAATATTCTAGATCTGCAGGTTAAGAAAAATTGAATATTCCAAATCTACAGTTTCAGAAAAATCAAATACTCCAGACCTGCAGCTTCAGAAAAATCAAATATTCCAGATCTGCAGTTTCAGAAAAATCAAATATTCCAAATCTGCAGCTTCAGAACAATCAAATATCGGTTCCAGCTTCCCAGAAGTGGACTGGAATGCAGTTAAAATTCAGGATGAAGGTACCCAGATGTCCAGCTGGGGTCCCTCGTACTGCTGCCCTTCAAAGACCTCTGGGGCTGCGTAGGGGGGGCTCCCACACCACGTGGTCAGAGGCTCCCCGCTCTTGTAGAAATTCCCAAAGCCGAAATCTGCGGGAAAAAAAAAGAAGGGAAAAGTCACTCCAAGCTTCCACTGCAGCACAAAGAATAATTCCAGGCACGCCCCTCTGTGATTTCATCCCAAATCCTTCTGTGGGGACAATCCCAATCCCATGCTGGGATGCTGGATGTTCTCTGTTTTTGCTGGTTTTGTGTCCTGGAATTATTGAAACACTGCAAAACCATCACAACCTGGAGGAGTTTTGAGTACATTTGTAAACAGCCATCATTAAAATTCAACAAACTGTCAGTCCCAGCAGATAAATGAGATTATTGACTTGCCAAGAGATAATCTGAGATTTCCTGGGCTTTCCTGAGGTGCTTTCTAGCCTTGAACACACAACAAATTCTGACAAGGTTTGGAGCTGGGAGGAAGGAGCTGTGCCAAGAGCAACAGGATGGGAAAGCACGGGGACTGTGGCTGGGAAGGACAGACAGACTTTAGCTGCTGCTGGGGCTGTCTGCAGCCCTTGGAGTCACCAGCCCACAAACAAAACATTCTTTTAAATGTTGCTTTTTATGGCTTCGTGCAGGACGAGCTGCGGTCTGATATTAATCAGAATTTTTATAATTCAGGCGTGAGAAGCAAAAGGAGCTCAGAGACAGAGGCTGGTGCTGCTGTGAGAGAGGTGACAAACAGGGCGACATCAGGCTGGGGATGCAGCTCTGAGTGTCCCTGGGAGGTGACAAAGAGAGCACAGCCTGATGGTGCAGCTCTGAGTGTCCCTGGGAGGTGACAAACAGGACACTGGGAGGTGACAAACAGGGCTCAGGCTGTAGATCCAGCTCTGAAGACTCCCAGAGATGATCTGAGGTGACAAACAGGGATGCTGGGAGGTGACAAACAGGGTGACATCAGGCTGTTGGTGCAGCTCTGAATGCTCTGAGGTGACAAACAGGGATGCTGGGAGGTGACAAAGAGGGCACTGTGAGGTGACAAACAGGGCTCAGGCTGTGGATCCAGCTCTGAGTGCTCCTGTGAGGTGCAAACAGGGCTCTGGGAGGTGACAAACAGGGCTCAGGCTGTGGATCCAGCTCTGAATGCTCCCAGGGATGCTGTGAGGTGACAAACAGGGCACTGGGAGGAGAAAAACAGGGTGACATCAAGCTGTTGGTTTAGCTCTGAATGCTCTTGTGAGGTGACAAACAGGGCTCAGGCTGTTGGTGCAGCTCTGAATGCTCCCAGGGATGCTGGGAGGTGACAAACACGGTGACATCAGGCTGTTGATGCAGGTCTGAACGCTCCCAGGCTGCTGGAATGCTGACCAGCAGATCCCAGAGCTGATAAACGCTGTGGTTACCACAGGCTCTCCTGAACCATCCCATTCACCCCGTTTGTGTTGTCTGTGCTGTTCAGAGGAGCCAGAAAACCACGGGAGATCCCTCAGAAGCAGAGAAACAGAGAAAGATTTAACAAAAAATCAGAAAAGTCCCCCTGGAGCTGGTTTGGGGCAGCAGGGCAGAGCTGGGGCTGCTGAACCAGAGCTCTGGGGGAAAGGACTGGGGGCTGCTTCCCCAGCAGCCTCTAATGATGGATCTCCACCTGCAAGACCACTCAAAAACGAAGCATTTTGGGAACAGTTTTGGTTTTGGAGCTGGGAATGAACACCTTGGAGCTGGGAATGAACACCTTGCAGTGCCCTAAAGCCCTGGTGTGTGCAGAGCCCGACTGTCCCAGCCCCAGAGGGGACCAGGGTCGGCACACCCGATACCCTGCAGGGTGAACTCTGGCACCTGGGCTCCATCAAAGGCTGCTGCCAGCCAGGCTGGCTGCCAGGCAGGCTCTGAAGGTCAGGGTGTCACAGCAGAGCCCAGGGTGTCACACAGAGCCCCGATGAGCAGGGACGGTGACGCCACCGCGGCCCAGGGACGTCACCGGGCCCGGCGGCCAAGGCCGGCTCAGATTCCAAACTCCTGCAGGAGCCAGGGTGGAACAGGACAGCACAGCCCTGCTGCCCTCCCTCCCTCATCCCCTGCAGTTCTGCAAAGCCTTCAGCTGCAGCAGCACAGGGGGGACAACAGAACCCACCCCAAATCCCCCCATCCCTCTGGGTAACCCCAGCACGGTGGCACCTTTTCCCCTCTTCCCTTTTATCTCCATTTCCCTTTTTTCCCCTTTCCCCTTTTTTCACCTTTTCCATTTTCCCCTTTTCCCCTTCTCCCTTTTTTCCTCTCTTCCCTTTTTTCACCTTTCCCCTTTTTCCCTTTTCCCCCTTTCCCCTTTTTCCCTTTCCCCCTATCACAGCCAGACCACTGCTGTGAATTCTTTTTTATCATTATTCCCTTTTTCTTCCCACAGAATTGGCTTGGCCACGGTGACAATGCCTCAGGAGGCACGAGGCCATTCCTGCTCTCCACAGGAGCATTTTGCCACCCCGTGTAGGTGTCCTTAAATCTGATTTCTCCCCTCTCTTATCTCGGATTTGTCAGGTTTTCAACATCCTCACAGTGCAGATAAACATCAGGTTTTTATCTCAGAGCTGCAGCTCTCCCTCGGGTGCCACCCTCATAAATCTTCCTATCAGATTCACAAGTACAAGAACATTTATTTGTAAGCACAGCTAAAGAAAGCATGACCTGCTTGGGAGCACAAGGATTTCAAATCCTAAAAAAAGTGACATTCTTTGCCTGTCCAGACTGGGATTTAAAGTCACCTCTTTGAAGAAATCACCAAAAAGAAACATGAAGAAATCTGAGCAGCAAAAAGCCAGTGTAAGAGAAGCCCCAGGTTTATGTTATTATTACCATCAGATGATGAATTTTGTGACACACAAAGGTTTTATTTCTGCTCACCAAAGAGAAACATGAAGAAATCTGAGCAGCAAAAAGCCAGTGTAAGAGAAGCCTCGGGTTTATGTTATTATTACCATTAGATGATGAATTTTGTGATACATAAAGTTTTTATTTCTGGAGCTCAGGAGCAAGGACACATCCTGGAGGTGCTCCTGGCCCCTCAGAGCAGGAGAAGGGCAGAGCTTGCAGTGCTGAACTGGCTGAAGAGCAGCTCTTGGCTGGCTCTGATGGCCCTGTGACAGCACAACTGACTGAGCTTTATTAGAAAATCCATGAATGAGAGGCTGTGAATTGCTCCCAGAAGGAGCAGCCACAGCCAGAGGGAATTCCTCACCAGCCCCTGTGCCTGCAGTGCTGTCCTGTACACCTGGACCATGATTTCCCCACTCTGCCTCAGCCCCGCGCTTCTAAAGCTTCAATTTCTTCTCTTTTCATGACCAATGAAACACCAGAACCCTTCAGCTCTGAATTTCAGCAGCACAAAGCACTGCCAGACACCTCCTGACTGGCACTGGGCTTTTTCATGGAATACATGAATTAAAACCAGTGCTCTGTATGTCAGCAACTGGCTCTCAGCTTTAAAAAATCCAATTCTGTTTTCTCTTATTGGACAAAATAATTCCCTGGGTGGGGGAGATCAGCATTATTTGTTAGGGTACACAATTTCTTGTGCTCACCCCTTTTGTCTCCATTATTCTCCCCACACAAATGGCTGGGAAACAATTTGTAAGCACTCCAGCATGGATAACATCCATGAAAACCCTTTCAAAGGAAAAAAAAAAACCCAGGATTTAGTCAGGATCCTGGATGCTTGCTCCATGGGGCTTCCTCAATTTTTAATTACTGCACTGTCAGTTGAGTTGCCCCACTTTTTGGAGTGGCCAGGATTCAGTTAAGCACAAAAAAATCATCAGTCTCTCATTCTCCCCCTTCCACCTTGTTCCCTCTTTTGCCATTGCTGATCTGTCACAGCCATTCTGGATCCAAAGTGGTCATTTTTAACCCCAAAAATGTCTCATTCCAGAAGAAACATCACTGCTATTCGAAGGAAAAAAATGTGCTAGCCCTCAAAAAAACCAAACCAAACAAATCAAACATATGCCAGCCACAGAATTCTAAAAGGACTGAAATTGGGTTCATTACCAGCGGACTGAGATTATATAATGGAGTGATCTCCTTAACATTTCCCTGAATCTGCACGTTAAAATAAAGAACAAACCAAACAACAAAAAGCCCAAAAAAAGGCCATCATTTGCAGCATTGTGTTCAGTTGAATAAACTCTGTGTTTGTGCAATCTGCAAATATTGGCTCTGCACAGTTGTGGTATTTGGTTTCTCAATCTCATTACCCCCTTCAGAATAATCTTGAATTTCGAAGGTATCATTTTTTCGAGCGCACATCACGCCGATGGAATCTGTTTTCCCCTTAAAAATGGAAAAAACCAGCCTGAGCTTTCAGCCCCGTTTGCAATCTGAGAAATGGCAGAGCCACTGCAGCTTCTGCTGAGCCTCCAGCAGGATGGCAGAGCCTCTCCCTGGTGCCTCCAGAAGCCTCCCAGAAGGAGCTCCAGAGCTATAATTAATCCATTCTCCTAAAACGAGGAGCAGAACTCAATCTGCCTGCCTCGCAGAGAGCCACAGGGAGCTTTTGTTGGAGGAGAAATGTGAGCCTGGCAGATAATGGGCACAGAGGTGCTGATAAAGGCAAGGTATGAGCAGCAAACCTGACCCACTTCAGGGGCTGAGGGCTGAGCAGCCTCTCCTGACGTCAATGCACATTTCCCTGTCCAGCAGCAGCTCCAGCCTCCTTCAAAATAACAGTCTCTGCCTACCTGGGCTGCTGCAAGCAGCAGGGTGTCACAGTTTCCTGCAGGCACCTCAATCTGGGGCTGCAAGGACAAGAACAGGAGCTGGCTCCCCATTCTGAGCAGGTTCGGGTTTCAGGGGTGCATTTCTGGCTGCGCAGCAAAGGTGGAGCTCAGAGGGAGCTGAAATGCCTCAGATGCCCTCAAAAGCAGCAAAAGCAAAGGACACAGCACCAGTGCAGCTGCTGAACTCTGGGGAGAGCCAGGCAGGGCTGCCTGGCCAGTGCTGAGCACAAATTCCACATTAAACCTGGCAGGGAATTCCTCACCTTCCCCCTTTTCTCAATGGACATTTTAGGTATCTCATTGGTACCTTCAGTTTTGCTACTTGCACTAAAATTTAAGGGCTCTGCTCCCAACCACCTCTTACCTTTTACAAAATAAACCTATCAAAGCTCTCACCTCAAATTCTTTACTCATCCTCTGTTTGTTGTCCAGTTAGAGAGAAAAGATCCTTAAAATTCCGCCTGTCCCTGTCCTTTTAGAGCAATATTAACACAAAACTACTGGATTTCAGTCCAGCCTCAGGCATCAGAGGTGGCAATCTTATGAACCCACAGGTTTTGGACCACTTTTGAATGTTAGTTTATTCTCCTGGTGGCTGAAATACAGAGGTGACTTTGTGCATGTTTCAGTGTTGATAAAAACTGTAGTGTTCTTGAGGAGCAAAAAGCTTCAATAAAAGTCTTGGAAGCAGGAGAACAAACCAAGAGAGGTGACTGTGCATGTTTCAGTGTTTGACTAAAAACTGTTGTGTTCTTGAGGAGCAAAAAGCTTCAATGAAAGTCTTGGAAGCAGCAGAACAAACCAAGATGCCCACTGGAAGCTAAGAAGAGCTTTATCAAAAGAATTCATCAGTTCTTGTGCTGGTTTTTCCAATTCCTACATGACCTGAAACCAGAGGAAAAGCCCAGCTATCAGAGCTGGGATCCTGGCTGCCCTCTGTCCTTCCCCAGCCTGATAAATGAGCCATGAGCACGATGAACAACTGGAAGAGGCTGTTCCCAGGGATCTGCACAGGCCAGATAACTCCAAAAACCCCAGATAAACCCTGGGCACTTCGTCATCCTTCCCCTCTGCAGCGAAAAATCCAACAACTGACTCGGCACAAATCACTACAAAGTTTCAGCAGCCTGAACTTTCCTCCAGCTCCTTCAGCAGCCAGGCTGGACACAGGGAGCTCTTATCAACCTGATAAGGACCGAGATCCATGGAGGAACCAGTTCATGGGCTCATTTACAGCCCACCTGTAATTAACTCTGTGCACTGGAGAAGTGGGGCAGCAGAGCAGCTGGGGCAGGGCAGAGCTGATGGAATCTCCTCATCCCATTTCCAGTTCTAATACAGCATTTTCTTTTCATATAATATATATCATAAAATAATAAATCAGCCCTCTGAAACGTGGAGTCAAGATTCTCATTTCTTCCCATTTTGGGGTTGCCTGCAAATTCCACAAGGCAGGAGTTCAGTCCAGCATGGAAGATCAGGTGAGTGTGCAGGAAATTCTGAAAGGGACCCTGGTTCACCTGGGAGCAACCAAACTGGAGCTCCTGAGAGAGCACTTTAGGTCCAGAGCCTTTCCTAGGAAGCATAAAAAGAGCTGAAATCCCCCAAATTATCACTTCAATGTGAATTCCCAGTGCCAGAACAGCTCCTGGCTCTCCTGAGATGCTCTGGAAGGGGCTTCCCCCAAGGGATTTGCATCCCTGCAGTGCTCAGGACATCCAGGGCAGGAAAAGCTCTGGATGCAGGAGCTGAGAGGAAAACAAGCAGAGGTCACTCTGGAAATCTGAATTCTTGTGTTAGGCAGGAATTCAGTCCTGGAATTCAGCAGGAAAAGAGCTGAAATATCCCAAATTATCACTTAAATATGAAATCCCCAGTGCCAGAACAGCTCCTGGCTCTCCTGGGATGCTCTGGAAGGGGCTTCCCCCAAGGGATTTGCATCCCTGCAGTGCTCAGGACATCCAGGGCAGGAAAAGCTCTGGATGGAGGAGCTGAGACCCCTGAGGAGCTCTGGAAAGCTCTGCCAGGCTGAACATTACAAGGTGGAGAGGGATCAGAGGGCAAAAACCTGGCAGTGAAGGCAGGAAAGAAAGCACAGATGAACAGCAGCACAGAAATTCCCCTTTTTCAGCTCAGTTCCCCAGAGCAAGGGGGTGACTGGCAGCCCTCAGACTGAATTTAGGATTTATTCAGTATAAACTGGCCTGGTGAATCAATTATCTCTCAGCCATAACTCTCCAGGTGCTGTGATTGCTGCTGGAGGTGGGTTCAGGTGTGAAATCAGAAATGAAAACAGGAAAACCACCCCAGAAATGGCAGCACTGATGAACCCACCTGGGGAAGGCTCCACAACCCTTCCACCATGCCAGAAATGCCAGCAGGGAAATGAAAAGGAAAAATAATCTAAAAATGTTTCATCATTTCACCCTTCTCAGCCTGACAAAGGGAAATTCCTTCTTCCTTCACTCTTTCCCTTCCTGCTCCCCTGTTCTTGAAGGCTGAAGTTCAACAGCCCCCAAATCAAGAAATTCTCTCTTTTACCCATTTCCAGCCTCTCTGGGCTCAAGTCAGCATGGAAGGATCCGTGGAATTGTAATGAAAATGATTTCTATTGCTAGCAACATCTGCTGTGTCGAAATTTATAATTAAAGTGAAATCATGCATGCAAAAAGGAAAAAAAAAAAAGAATCAATAAGCTTCCATTTTGAGTTGGTTTTTTTTTTTTTAATGTTGAAAGAAGTTATTTGATTAACTCTGTTTTAACCTGAACATCTGGCAGCTTTAAAGACAGCTACAAAAAATGTCTATATATATTATAATGTCTGTATACATTATAATGTCTACATATATTATATATATTATTAATATATATAATATTGATAATATATATAATGTCTATAGCTATTATAATGTCTATAACTATTATAATGTCCATAACTATTATAATGTGTATAACTATTATAATGTCCACATATATTATAATGTCTATATATATAATATATATAATTAATATATATAATATATATTAATGTCTATAACTACTATAAAATGTTTATAACTAAATTTTTTTTTCTTTTTTTTTCTTGTTTTTCTGGAAGTTAATATTGGAAATTTGGATGGACTTTGACACCCACCATGGAGGAAAATTCACGTGGAAAACCACAACGGAATCACAGGCAGTACCAGAGGGGGATTTTATAAAAAAAATACATAAAAATAAAGTGGAATACCTGCTATTTTGATGTTCATGTTGTTGTCCAGCAGGAGGTTCTCAGCTTTGAGGTCCCTGTGCACGATTTTCCTGCCATGGCAATATTCCACTGCGGACAGGATCTGCCAGAACTTGCGCCGCGCCTCGGGCTCGCTCAGGCGCCCGTGGCTGGCCAGGTAATCTGGGAAATGAAAATAAAATCACCCCCAGTCAACCAAATCTGCTTTAATCAGCCTGGACAGCAGGCAGCAACGCTGATTTTTAATGGTTACCCCCAAAAAATTAGCAGCAGGAAAATCAAATTGATTTCCAGGCTCTTAATCTCGCAGCTGACCCACTGTGAAAATGGAAAAAATAAGGAAAATTTTTTCTTTTCTTTTATGGCTACCTGGTCAATATTTACACAATATTTTCATTTGCATAATATTTTCCTAATATTTTCCTAATATTTCATATTTTTTCATAGTATTTTCTTGGTAATCTGGGAAATAAAAGCAGCAGAACTCCAATAAATCAGGTTTAAATCAGGCTGGGCAGCAAGTAGCAATCACAAAACTCAGTGATTTCTCAGAATCAGAAAATCAATCACAAAACTCAGTGATTTCTCCCCAATAATCAGCCCAAAGGAACTCAAATCAGCTTCCAGCTTGTTGCTCTCCCAGCCAAATCTCTGAAAAAATAAGGAAAATTTTCTCTTCTTTTATACCTATCTGGTCAATATTTGCACAATATTTTCATGTGCATAATATTTTCATAATATTTCATAGTTTTCATAATATTTTAATATTCCTTCTTTTATAGCTACCTGCTCAGTATTTTTTTACTTATAATATTTTTTTTACTTATAATATTTTTACAGTATTTTCACAATAGAACTGATGGTAATCTGAGAAAAAAAAAAAGCAGCAGAAATCAAGCAAATCAGGTTTAAATGGATTTAGGCAACAAGCTTGAAACTCAATGTTTTCTTCCCAATAATCAGCACAAGGGAACTTCAAACCAACTTTCAGTTTGTTGTTCTCCCACTCAACCCTTAGAAAAAATGGAAAAAAAAATGAAATTTTTCTCTGCTCCTTCTTTTATGGCTACCTGGTCAATATTTTCACAACCTGAGAACTCAAATCATCATAAATCAAACAATTCAGCTTTAAATGGACTGGGCAGCAAGCAACAACACTGAAATTTAATTTCTCCCAAATAATTAGCACTCAAACCAGTTTCTAACTTGTTGCTCTCCCACTCAACCCTCCAAAAAAGTGGAAAAAAAGAGGAAATTCTTTTCTGCTCCTTCTTCTGCAGCTACCTGGTCAATATTTCCACAATATTTTCACACCACAATTCATGGGGAATACTTGGAATCATTTACTTCATCATCCTGGACACTTCAAGCTTTAATTCTTCTTATGTTTCACATCACACTTCACCCTCTGAAGCCTCAGCAGTGGCTGTGTGCTGAATAAATGTATTTTTTTTTTTAATTTCTGGGAATAAAAACCAGCACCCCAAAGGTGCCCATGCTGACCTCTCTCTCCTCTCCACTGCGTCACAGGCAGAGAGAACATTTTGTTTTCATATTTGATTACATTGTAAAAACCAATGGCAGCCCTGAAACCAAAAACTCCATTTATCCTCAGGAACAAAAACAAGGGGAGCAGCAGCAGCTGGGCGAGGGAGCAGTTTTAAAATCCCCTGTTCGGGGGGAAAAATCAGAGAATCAGGGCCTGGGATGGGCTCAGAACACCCCACAAAGAATGCAGGTAATGGCCAAGGAGCAGCCAGAGCAGAGATTTGAGAGTGATTAATTTTATAGTGATTAAGTTTATAGTGATTAATTTTATAGTGATTAATTTGATCTTCTACAGCACTTGTGCAGCACCAGATCCCAGCAGCAGCACCTTGCCCAGCACAGCTCCAAACCTGCCTTGGTTAGCCTGTGTTTTAAAGGATTTTTAATTCAAATATTATTTAGGGGGCTGTGTTAGCCTGTGTTTTATAGAATTTTTAATTCAAATATCATTTATGGGTCTTTGTTAGCCTGTGTTTTATAGGATTTTTAATTCAAATATAATTTAGAGGTCTTTGTTAGCCTGTGTTTTAGGGGACTGTTAATTCAAATAAAATATAGGGGGCTGTGTTACCCTGTGTTTTAGAGGACTTAATTCAAGTATCATTAAGGGAGCTCTGTTAGCCAGTATTTTATAGGATTTTTAATTCAAATATCATTTAGGGGGCTGTGTGAGGCTGTGTTTTATAGGATTTTAAATTCAAATATCATTTAGGGGCTTTGTAACTCTGGCAACATTTTCATTTCAACTCTTCTCTGTGGTCAGAGCTGGTCTGTGGGAGCTGCAGCTCAGCTCAGAGCTCCCACCCCACCTCACACACTCTCAGCTGGTTTCACTTGGCAAAGCACAAGAACAAACAAAAGCCTGGCAGTAAAGGGAGATCATAATATTTGCAAGCTAAATATCACTCAGGCACAGAGTGACTGACAAATCATATGACAGCAAGGTGAAGTCAGATATCAAAGGCACAAACTCAATTAGCCCTGAGCTGTTAATCCAGCATTTGTTGGCAATGCAGAACGAGTTCATGGGAGGAGTGTTGGGGGGTAGGATGGTCAGGATGGATGGAGAGGAGAGATTCTTGAAGCCAGGGCTTGGAATTTGGGGTTTATTGCAAAGGATGTGGGTGCAGGGCCCTGCTTGGGCCTGCCAGCCACAGCTCAGAGCAGGACTGAGAGAAAGAGAAATAAAGAGAGTGGTAAAGAGGATGAGAGAGCGAGGTTCCTGTTACAATACAATAAATCTTCTTCTGGCCGTGGAATTTGGGGTTTATTGCAAAGGGCCTGGGTGCAGGGGCCTTTTGGAACTTGGGGTTCATTGCAAAGGGCCTGAGGGCAGGGCCCTGCTGGGAGCTGCCAGGCACAGCTCAGAGCAGGCCCGAGAGAAGTAAAGAGAGAGAAGGCAGGAGTGTGATAAAGAGAAAATGAGAGAGTAAAAGAGAGGATCAGAGGGTGAGGTTCCCGTTAAAATACAATAAATCTTCTTCTGGTCTTGGAATTTGGGGTTTATTGCAAAGGGCCAAGTGCAGGGTCCTGCTGGGAGCTGCCAGGCACAGCTCAGAGCAGGCCCCAAAGAGGAGCCCCAAAGAGCCAGAGAGGAATAAAAGCAAGAGGGAAAAAGAGAGCAAAGTTCCCATTACAACACCATAAATCTTCTTCTGTGTTGAATATTCTAATTCTCACTAACCAATCTAGTCCAAGACACAAATCCTACAGCATTTCATACAGCCTATAAGAATCATTACATCACCATCCTGTGTTACATTCTAAACAAGCTCTTTCCTCTCCAAGCCTTGGAAAGCAAGGCCAAGCCTGCAGCCTGCTCAGAGCCCCAGAACCTCTGTGTCCCCCTCATCCAGGGCTCTGAAAACCACTTGCTTGCCATTGTCTCTAATTTGTTTGTGTACAAACTTTATATTTAACCTTGTAAGGAGAGTTAAACCACATTACATCACCATCCTGTGTTACATTTTAAACCCTAAAAACTCCTCTTTGGGCCCCTTCTGCCAAGCTGTAGGGTCTGCTCTGCCCCTTGGGCCTGTCTGCAAGCAGAGGGTGTTGTTCCATCAAAAGGGGATCACCTTCAGCAGCCACACCATTGTTTTCCAGTTGTTCAGTAACTGAGGGATCTCAGAGCTTGCTTTCATTTCAATCTCACTTATAGTTTCCATATTCTCCAAATCTTTTGCCAGGCAATCATACTGATAAGGCTTTCCTGTTTCATCTTCCCCAACATTCATGAAGCCAAGCTGGCCTTGGCTTTTATGGCCCTACCAGGATTTACTGGGAGATCTCAAACCCAGAACAAATCCCTGATTCTGGGATCAGCCCTGTCCCTCCTGCAGCTCCAGGGGTTGTGCATTAACCAGAGGGCAAACAGGGATGGGCATGGTGCCAACCTGGGCACAGCAGCCACTGTCCAGGGACCCTGCAGGGGACACCTGGGACCTGCTGGGGACACCAGGACCTGCTGGGGACACCAGGGACCTGCTGGGACAGAGCCAAAGCCGGAGCTGCTGCAGAGCCCTGGGCATCCTGAGGGGCTGGAACAGCAAAACCACCTCTGCCAGGAAAGCTCCAAATTTTCTACATTTATCTCAGCCTGCTGTCATCTCTGGCTACACCTTTCTACAGCAGGGATTGGGATTTTTAAAAATCTTATAATAATTATATTTTTAAAATATATAAATATCTACATAAAATTATAAATATCTATATTGTGTAATAATAAAAATTTAATTTCATTATAATTTGAGATATATATAAGATATATATAGAATTATATCTATTTATATTGTATAATAAAAATTTAAAACTTTAATAAATTTTAAAAATAATTTTCACTTTTAATAAAAATTAATTTTAGTTTTAATACAATTATATTATATATTTATTTGTGATCATATTATAATTATTTTATTTCTTGTATATGTATTATATAATACATATAATGTATATTATATATACTATAATATTATATATTATATATGATGTAATGCATATTATATTATATAATACATATTGTATATATTCAATATGTAATATATAATACATATTAAATATATACAATGTCTTTTATATTACATAATACATATAATGTGTATATATGTATATATTTGTATATATTTTTTATTTTATTATAATAAAATAGAAGCCAGAAGTGATTTTGGATTTGCAGGCAAACCAGCAGGATTTTTGTCCCAAGACAAAGCACAGCAAAAGCCACAGTGGAGACCAACTGAAACAGAGGAAATCAGCTATAAAAGTAAAAGATTTTTAACTCTGCAGGTGCACAGAAATATTCAATCTAAGAACAGACCCAAAAGATTCTTATTGACATAGACACCAGGAGTGCATTAAAAAGTTCAACATGCAAATATTCTCCTGCTTACCAAAAATCTCCCCATTTTTGGCAAATTCTGTCACGAGGTACAGCATGCTTTTGGTCTCCATCACCTGTGGAGGCAGAAATCACACATGAGGGCTCGTGGGAAAAGCAAAAAAGCCAAAAATCACCCAAAAGAATCCTTATTTTTATGGTTCTCTCCTAAAGCTGTGAAAGTTCTGCCTCACACCTGGAATTGGCACAATCTTCCAATGTGTGCAAACAAAATAATCAAAAGCTTCACTGAGAAAAATCCCCCAGTTCAAAAAGTCATTTCAGATTTCAGGACAATTTCAAGGTATTTTGGGTTTATTTCAACAACCTCAGAGAAACATTTCAGCATCAGCTGAGATTGTCCATGGGCAAGAGCTTTGTGAATTTGATTTTGCATTTTATTTATGAACTGGCTGAAAAGTCCCAAAAGACTGCTCACAAATAAAAGCAAACCAGGGAGACAATTTGAAGGCTATTTTAAAAATAAACTCATTTATCAAATGCATTTTTAACCAGGCACTGAAGGAGTGAGCACCACCCAAGCATCACCATCCCTTCAAGTGCTGATCTTCAGACTTTATTTAAATATTCTCAACCTCTCTTCTGCCATTTTTTGAGTGGTGTCATTCATTCAGAAAGGAACTGAGGGGAGATATTATCAAATAATAAATTGCAAATTTATAAATTGCAAATTTAACTCCTTAAGCTCCACCTCCACCTGGCACATCAATATTTTAAAGACCAGGTTTATTTTTTAAATAGACCATTTATTTTTGAAATATTTTAAAGGCCAGTTTCTTCTGCATAAAATTAATTTAAAGCTGAACTGGTCTTAAGTGGGATCTTCATTTTTGTTTAGCAGAACTAAGAGAGGGAAAAAAAAGTGGGAAAAAGGGGGAAAGAAAGGAAAAAAAAGGGAAAAGCCCCTCTAGGCCCACCTGGTAGAGTTTTATGATGTGTGGGTGGTCCAGCATCTTCATGATCTGCACCTCCCTGTAGATCTTCTCCAGATTCACAGCATCCAGCTGAGATTTGTCAATGATTTTTATTGCCACCTGCAGACCAAGAGCAAAAATGAGGTTTAAAAACTCCCCCAATGTGAGTTCACCCTCATTAGGAAGGGAAAAATGCAGCCCCAGGCTGAAAAATACAGCAGGGCAGCACTGGAAGGGTCTGGGGTCCCTCCAAGGGGCTGCAGGGATCTCACCCACAGCAGCATGAGAGGAAACACAGGTTTTCGGTGAGAAAAAACAGATTTTCTTTGAGAAAAAGCAGATTTTCAGTGAGAAAAAGCAGTTTTCCATGAAAAAACCCAGATTTTCCATGGAATGGAAGGCACAGAACAGGCCAGTTCTCCAGGTGCTCTTAAATCAACAATTTGCAGTGACCAAAATCATCCTAATGGCGCCCATTTCTGGAGCCAAGGTGACAAATCTGAGTCCCACAAAATGATATTTTAAGAGAAAACCTGACAATGCAAACCTAGGGGATCCATGCAGTTGCAGCTGTGACACGTTTAATTAATTCAAGTGCTGTTATAGGAGGGGATCTTCAGTTCATCCCTTCAGAGAAAAAACTCTGCAGATAAATTTACCAGTCAAGCCTTGATAACACATCTCAGTTAGTTCACAAAACACATCCTGGCCCTGCTGACCTTGTTTTTAGCCAATAAATGCAAAGGGAAGATAAGTCTAGATGCTGAAGGGATTAAAAAGCTCCAACACAAGACATTTAAAGTTGAAACCAAGAAGAAAGTGAAAATTCAGCCCCTGCACATGCAAAGGGTAAAAATGCTAAAGAGTGCTGAATATAGAAATGCTGTTTATTCAGCCTGAATGTCACTTTGTTAATGCTGAAGCAGGAGCAAACAATGTAAGTCCCACTAATGCTTCCAATTATAACAGAATTTCACAAACTATTGAACAGGGGAGAGCTGCTGGAGACAGAAATTCACGGGAGGAGAGCCTCATTATCTGCTGACACTGATTGTGGGCCCACCTGAGTTCACAATTAACTATTTACTGACCTCAGCTCACTCTGATTTTCCTTCCTTAAAAGTCCCTTTTTATTCCCCTCAACTCCCAGGGAAATGTACAACCTCAAGTGTGCAGGAAATGTGTCCATAAAATGGATATACCTGCTAACACTGACTGTGGGCCCACCTGAGTTCACAATTTACTATTTATTGACCTCAGCTCACTCTGATTTTCCTTCCTTTAAAGTCCCTTGTCTTTCCCCAACTCCCAGGAAACTGTACAACCTCAAGTGTGCAGGAAATTTGTCCATAAAATGGATCTACCACAGCAGAGCAGCAGCTCCTCCACTCAAACACAGATTAAACACCTCAGCTCGTTCTGCATCTTCATCTTGCCAGGACCAGGGGAGGGTTTTACAGAAGAACCTCTTGAAAGTACTCAAAATCCAGCAAAGTCTTCCCAAGGATGTGAGGAGGAGCAGGGAATTCAGCAGCTCCTTTTGGAGCTCAGCTGTCTCTTGGTGACAGGAAAAGGGATGTAATTCTTAGAGGTGGAGAAGCTCCTTCAAGGCACAGAGCAGTTTCCTATGTGAAAAGTGTGTTTTGTTCCTAAACATGCAGCTTGCCAACAATTACTGGCAACAGTCTGAAACAAACAACAACAACAAAAAAATCCCAAATTTCAAGATATAATGTCAGCACGTGCTTCACCTGACAAGGAAAACCAAAAGGGAATCCCTGATCTCCCCCTGTCACCAGGTTTTGCTCCTTAAGGAGTTAAATTCCAAGGTATCTTTGCAGCTTTCACGCTTCCTTCTCATTTAAAAACCCAAGGAACTGCACTTATTTCTTATTTCCTTCCCTCTTCCACTGAAGGCCCAGGGAATGGGAGTTTGCTCAATCCTCCCCTGACATCTGGGAATTGCAGCTGCCAAGGAGTGAGGATGAAATGCTTGTCAAGAAAAGATAAAAGTTGTTCTGTTCCTCAGCTACTCCAACTGTCACTTTCCATTGTTTTTGTTTTATCCATTTAATTCTTGAAAGGAAAAACAAAGGCAAAAAGCAAACACCCAAACAAAAAAAAAACCAAAACCACAACACAACCTCCTGTTACAAATTCACATTCAAACAGAGCTTTGTCCCTGCAGGTTACAGAAACTCAGATTTGTTAACCCAGGACATTCTTAAAATAGATAAAATGCATTAAAATTAACCAACACAACTTCCTGCAGTCTGGGAAAACTCCATCTTTTCCTGTGTGGCACAGGGAGCTGCTGTCTCTGCTGGAGTTGCTCACTCTGCAAATACCTGAGCACACCTGAGCTGGTGCCACAGACCAATCCAGGGGCTCCAGGGTCATTTTCCAGACTTATTTCCAGATAAAACCACAAATTCCCTGTACCAGCAGCCAGGTGAAAGCACATCTGGGAGAGCCAGGCTTTATTTTCCCCTGGGGAGCAGCAAGCAGAGCTCCTCTGCAGGGGATTAATCCTTGGGAAGGGGTTAATTAAGGATTTGGGGGTGGGTTCCCAAATTCCCTGCATTTTCCAGGCAGAGCCTTCACTGCTCCAAACCTTTTCCTTATTCCCTACATTCCAATCCTTTCCCAACTTCCCTACATTCCAAACTCCCCTACACTCCAAACCTTTTCCAAATTCCCCACACTCCAAACCTTCTCCCTATTCCCTACATTCCAAATCTTTTCTCTATTCCCTACATTCCAAACCTTTTCCAAATTTCCCACACTCCAAACCTTCTCCCTATTCCCTACATTCCAAACCTATTCCTTATTCCCTGCACTCCAAACCTTTTCCCAATTCCCTACACTCCAAACCTTCTCCCTATTCCCTACATTCCAAACCTTCTCCCTATTCCCTACACTCCAAACCTTCTCCCTATTCCCTACACTCCAAACCTTCTCCCTATTCCCTACATTCCAAATCTTTTCTCTATTCCCTACATTCCAAACCTTTTCTCTATTCCCTACATCCCAAACCTTTTCCCAATTCCCCACATCCCAAACCTTTTCCCAATTCCCTACATCCCAAACCTTTTCCCTCTTCCATCCCCACCCCATTTCACTGGAATCAAACCTCCCCATCTTCTCCCAACTTTCCAATCATTATTCCTGCTCCCTGCTCTCCTCCCCAGGAAAATCTCTGCTCATTTCCACGCCTCATTAGCAGGAGCTGCCCTGGGATCACAGGATTTCTGGGCAGCAGGATCAAGGATGGAGCGTGGCAGGAAAAAGCCACGTGGCCTCCACTCAAATGGCACCAAACACCCAAACAAGGCAAGCAAAGGTCGGGTTCAGCCCCCCCTGGGAGGACTGGCAGTAAAAAGGGTCAGGCAGCACCTCTAGTCCTAATATCTTTAATTAATTTATTTATTCCTGATATCTTTATCACTTAATATCTTTATTAATTCCCTCCTGGATGGGCTGGCAGTAAAAAAGGTCAGGCACCTCTATTCCTACATATCTTTCTTTAATTTATATATTCCTAATATCTTTATCACCTAATATGTTTATTAATCCCCTCCCTGGGTGGACTGGCAGTAAAAAGGGTCAGGCAGCACCTCTATTCCTACAATCTTTCTTTATTTTATTTATTCCTGATATTTTATCACCTAATATCTAATAGAAATATTAGATATTTATTAATCCCCCCATTTTTCCCAATTTTCACACTTCTGTATGGTTGTTTAGAACTTGCATTAATTCAAGTGATGATTTCTGATTTTGTTTGCACACACCCTGTGTTGCTCTCCTGCTTCATGTTTGTTTCCATTTAATTTCCACCTCTGCTCACAATTTATGGCAACAATTTTATTTTCTCACCTGTAGCCTTCCCATAGAAAGGATGGATTGTACACAATCCATAAGTGCTGCATTCAAGGTAATAAGAGCCCATCTTTTTTAATTTGATGCTTATTGGCTAGGCAGAGTTGTGTTTAGAAAAAAAAAAAAAGCAAATATTTTAAAGGTCAAAGTCATATAAAACATAATTTCAAAATGCCAGTGCTAGAAAATCCCAACAACAAACAGGTTCTGAATCTAAAGGGTTCAAATCAGGAGAAACTTTGACAAGGAGTCCTTTAAAACAGGATTTTGGAGCAAATCTCAGCAGCATCACAGCATCCTCCTGCAGCACAGACCTGAGGGTGCACCAGCACAGCCCTTCCAGGACCTAAAAACGGAATATTCTCCCACTGGAACTTAAGGAACAATTTAGAACAAGCTTGGAATATGAAAACCCTTCAGGCTGGAGTCATTACCAAGCAGGATTTCCACTCTGTGTGTCAGGGATCCAACAATCAGGTGAGCTGCTCCAAGCTGGAAGTGCTTATTCCAAAGAGTATTTGGCTGGAATTAATTTCCTCTGACATCACCAGAAGTGATCTTAACAGGGTTCCCCTTCCTCAAAGATTGTGTAAATACTTCCAGCAACCCAGTCAGCAATTCAGTTCCAGAAAAACACTCTTGCATCTCTCACTGCAGAAGTCAGAGCTGACTCAAAAAAATCAAAGACCTTGATAAAAAAATCCTCCAGCAGAGGCAAATTTGCTGTAAAAATCCCACAGAAGAGAAAAAGGCTGCAGACTGGACAGAAAAGCTGGTGAAAAAAAAAAAAATTCAAGATACCAGAATTCAGCAGTTCCTTAGGACACAGAGGAAAGAATCATCCAGGACTTGGGGAGCTTTTTAAGCTCTGTGTTTTCTGTAACCTTTGTTATTTCCAACAATGCTAAACAAACAGGCTTTCTAAAAACGACAACAAAAACGAAGATTAAAGTTTTCATCTCCATCACAAAGCCTGCCAAAGAAACGAGGGCTGAAGAGCAATGACAACTGAGTATCTTCAAGTGGAGCATTTGCAATTCTGGCACATGGCCCCAAACTTGGGAAGGGAGCGCTGGCACCGCTTGGCTCTTCTGCAGGAGCAAGGAAGGGCTCGGAAAGACCCGAGTTGATGATGAACTTGAGAAATGAGGCAAGAGGAGAACTTTGCTTCAGTCCCTGCGCTGCAGAGCTCATCAATCACAGCGTGGCCAGGGCCCTGTGAGCACCAGGGCTCAGCTGAGCTCCAGATTTCAGGAATGCCCCCATTCCTTAGGGGATGATTTTCCCGCACAAGCTCACGGGGATGGACACCTGCAGCCCTTCCAGTCCGCGCCTGGGACGGGGTTTTAGTGACTTTGGTCAAGTACAGAGCAGCAGGAACCTCCTCTTCAGTCACCAATGAAACAGAGCAGAAGAGAGCCTTACAAAAATCTCACCTCTAGGTGTAGCAACTAAAACTACCTAAAACAGAAGAGGAAGCTCCAGAGCCATTGCTCTCATCAAATACCTCCTTTTTTTTTTTTCTTTCCTTTTTTATTTTTTTTTTTTAAAGTGAACACGACTGCATTTTTACCCAGGCAGACTGACAATCATTTCTGTTTTAGGTAAAGCACCAGGTATTAACAATAATCACCGGGTAATACACGGGGGCGATGAAACAAAGGGGCTAAAAATGGTTGGATTTGGTGAAGTTGGAGGATGCCGTGCTGAAGAATTCAGCACACACACACCAAGTTCCTCTGCTGGAACAGATAACCCAGCATTGCCCGGGTCAGGAAACCCCAAAATCCCCAGGGCACCAGGGCAGGCACAGCACAAGGTCTGACCCTCCGCAGGGAGCAGAAAGTGGCGCTGGAGCAGCACCGGAGCATCCTTGGGGTGCCACCCTGGGGCGACGCCACCACCCCGGGGCGATGCCACCATCCCGGGGGTGCCGCGCCGCGGGTGGCATCTTTGGGGTGACATCCCCAAGGGGAGGGGGGTGACATCCTGCGGGTGCCATCCTCGGCCATCCCCGCGCGGCCTCGGGGCGTTCTCCTGCCGTTCCCCGGAGGATGCGAGCGGGAGAACCCCCCCCACCCCGGGCGGCCGGGGCTCCGCGTCCCCGCGGGAGGTGCCGGAAGGGACAAAAGCGGCGGCCCCGGCCCCGGCGGCCCCGGCCCCGCGCAGCCCCCGCGGCCCCGCCGCGCCCCCCGCGCCGTGCCCACCTCGCTGCGGGTGATGCGGTGCCGCGCCAGCTTCACCACCGCGAAGTTGCCCTTGCCCAGCGTGCCCTCGATGTCGTAGAAGCCGACGCGGACGGGCCCGAGCCCGCGGGGCAGCAGCGCCGGGGGCCGCCGGGGCTCGGCCATCACCATGCTGGGCTCGGGGGGCGGCGGCGGCGGCGGCTCCGGCTCCGGCTCCGCGCGGCGCCCCCGGGGCCGCGCCGCCCCCTCCGCCACCGAGCGAGGCACCGAGCGACCGAGCGGCGTCACCGCGCGCGTCACCGCGGGCGGGGCCTCGCCATGGCAACCGCCCCGGCACGGCCCGCCCCGGCACCGGGACACCGGGACAGGGACAGGGACAGTGACAGTGACACCGGCACCGGGACACCGGCACACCGGCACAGGGACAGGGACAGTGACACCGGGACACCGGGACACCGGGACACCGGGACACCGGGACACCAGGACAGGGACAGTGACACCGGCACCGGGACACCGGGACACCGCGCGGGGACAGGGACAGTGACACCGGGACACCGGGACAGGGACAGTGACACCGGCACCGGGACACCGGGACACCGGGACACCGGGACACCGGGACACCGGGACACCAGGACAGGGACAGTGACACCGGCACCGGGACACCGCGCGGGGACAGGGACAGTGACACCGGGACACCGGGACAGGGACAGTGACACCGGCACCGGGACACCGGGACACCGCGCGGGGACAAGGACAGGGCCACCGGCACCGGGGGGACACCGCGCGGGGACAGGGCCACCCGCGCTGGGACAGTGCCAGTGCCACCAACCCCCGGGGGACACCCGCGGCACCCGCGCTGTGTCCCCGCCAGTGCCGCCAGCCCCGGGGCACCCGCGCTGTGTCCCCAGGGCTCGGCAGCCACCGGAACGTCCCCTCCGCGCTGGCATTTCCCTCGCCGAGGGACGGTCCCGTCCCTGGGGCAGGTGGCACCGCAGCGGGGCCGGGTGCCTCGGGTGCCTCCAACCCCTGGGCAGCGCTGCCACCCTCCATGGGAAGAAGTTCTGACCCGTTTAGGGGTGGAACTTGGGGTTTATTTTTAAATTTCTGACCGTTGTTCCTCATCCTGTCACCCTGAACGGAGCCTGTCCCCATCCTCTGACACCCTCTGGAGATGTTTGTCCACCTTGGTGACATCCCCTGAGCCCTCTGTGAGCCAAACACGCCCTGCTCGTTTTTGGATGAAGAGGAACAACCTCAGGCTCTCTGCAACTTCCTGAGGAGGGGATGCGGAGAGGGAGGTGCTGAGCTCTTCTCCCAGCCACAGGACACGTGGGGATGGCTCAAAGCTGTGTCAGGAGAGGTCCTGGAGGTTGTGGAGCATTTCTGTACCAAGAGAGTGCTCAAAGCTTCCCAGGGAACTGCTCAGTGGCCCAAGCCTGGCAGTGTCTGAGGGGTGTTTGGATAAAGCCCTTAAATGACTTTTGTCATTGCACAGGGTGATTTTTGCAGGTCCTTTCTCAGGGAATTCTTCTTCTCTTTTTATTTCCTGCACATTTGGAAAGGCAGATTTGGAAGTTCTGTGGGTCCCTTTGACCCGAAATGGTCTGAGGACCGTCAGAGCTGAGAATGTGTGAAGAAATTTAAGGCCCTTTCTGCTGAATTTCCTTTTCAGTGCTGAATTTCCTTTTCAGTGCTGAGTCCACTCATTCTGCTTTAGCACCTAAGCGTGCATTTAAAGGATACACTTACCAAGTGTGCATTTAAAAGGTGCACCTGCATTTTCAAATTCCACGTTTGTTTCAGCAATCTTTGCTCTCTGCTTTCATGCCTGTCCCTCCCTCTCCCCTGCTCCATCCCAGGCTGAAGGACTGGTGCCTTCCTGACATTTGGGAACCAGGAATCACTCCTGGAATCTTTTAGTTCCCCTGACTAAACCAGGCCCAGCCCAGAGCTGATGGCACAGCACGTGCCTGTTGAATCAGCCACAGAGCTTTAGGAACACACAGAGTGGACACTAAAAAAAAAAAAAAAAGAAAAAAGGAAAAGAGTGGAAGAATGCAAGGAACAAAGTTGTGTCATTCTTTCCCTTTTTAGGCAGATTTTACACGTAAAGCTGCCTCATCCTCGTGAAAAGTTACTTTTGTTCTGTGTCAAGCAGCGATGACTGTTCTGCAGAGGGAACTGAAGGTCTCTGTGCAGAAATTAATGCTTGTCCTTCACTGCTGACGAGATTCCTCCAAGGAGTGACATTTGGGGATGACGCTGCTGGCTCGGGCTGCCATGGAGAAGCAGGGAGCTGCTGCTGCTCTATTTATCCCCTGCAGAAGTTCTGGCAGTGAGTAACTGATGGCTGGGGTTAGTCAGACATCCACCCTTTCCGTGATTGATGGCTACGTGAGAGAGCCTTCCAGAATCCTCTTTGAATAGCAAATGGTGTCATCCCGAGCTGCCACTTGCCGAATTTCACTCCTCTTTCACCTTTTCTTCAAATCCAAACTCGGCGAGTCAAAAGTTGCTTTTTTTCCTACAGAACGTTACCTAATACTCCTTCTCACTCACGTCACCCTAAATGAAGCTTTTTAGCCTCCAAACATTTATTTGCTTCCTGCCCACTTTCCAAGCCTCATCCTGGTGAGGGTGAATGATTGATTGATTGAGCCAGATTTGAATGATTGAGCCAGATTAATGAAAACGAACGACTGAGCCAGATTTGGGTGCTCGGAAGAGAAAATCTCTGCAGAAACCCCACCACAGAGCTGGAAAGTTCAGGTCACAAAAAAAACAGGGCTTAAAAACGCAGCGAGAGGAATTGCACCCACAAAAACCCCCAAAAAAACAACAAAAAAAACCCCAAAAAACATCTTCTGCAGGGCAGCTTTCAGCAGCCGCTGATGGATTTCGCTCTGCTCCAAGAAAAGGGATTCAAACTCCTCCCGAACGGGGCTGAGCGGAATTTCCAGGACACAACGTGGAGCGCACATGCCCTCGTGTGGTCGCTGCTCCCGCACATCCTCCCGCAGCTGGGATGCCCCAAAGGATTGATAAATCCCAAATTTATGAAATTTCCTCACTTGAATAACGCCCGGCACACTCAGATCGCTGCCCGAGCCCAGGGGCGGCTCAAGAGGTCGGGCCACACGTTTGGCTGCCGAGATTTGGCTTTACACAGCTGAGCTCCAGCATCTGACAAGTTCTCCTCATTTTCCTGGTTTTTAGTGCCTAAAAGATGCTTAATAGCTGCCAAAAAGAAAAAAAAATAAGGAGGCCAGGAATCCAGGATTAAAAGTGGACAGACTTTTGCTTGATTTGCGTTAATTACTGCATTAGAAACTCCAGATATTGTGAGCGCCCAGCCCTGACCAGGATCCTGTACCAGGATTTTGCTTTTCAGGAGAGATTGTTGCCCACTTGATACTGTTTTCAGAACAATTAGAAGATTATTTATTTTTTAAAGGGATTTCTCCTTTCAGGGCTTTATGTGCACCACGTCCTGGTGGAGGAACAGCCGCTGTGACACTGCAGCCACAGCACCTGGGACATTTAGGAAGTGAGAAGCAGCTGTGACAATTGAAATATTTCAGTGTTTGCAGCAGTCAGCAACAGCTCAGAGATCTAAAAACTTCTTCCTGCCTATTTTGGCAGAAGAGATTCATGGCTGTGCCTGCACTCAGTTCTGTTGTTGTTTCAGCCACATTTAAAACACCTTTTTGCCAAAGCTTTGTTTCCTCCCAGCTTATGAATTTTTTTTTCATTTTCCTATTTAATTTATTGACGTGCAATGGAGAACAGCCAACTTTTAGGCAACCAAAACGCATTTTAGGTGCTTCATAGTCTTGTCCTGCAGCAATGCTCCTCTCCTGGAGCCAGAAAATCACCTGCAGAACAAAAGGTGTGAAATATTTGTGTTCCTGCCGGGCACTCTGTGGTTGCTTGGTCATTCCCCTTCCACTTCTTGGTCTCTGCCCCCTCCAGCAGAATGAGGGAGGGAATTGGAGGAGTAAAAATGAGCAAACTCATGGGTTGAGATAAAGAAATTTAATAGGCACAGTGAAAGTCACACACACAAGCAAAGCAAACCCGGGGATTCCTTCCCCACCTGCCACGTTCAGCATCTCCAGGAAAGCTCCACCACACATTAAAGGGAACTTTTAGCACCTTTGAGGAGGAGGAGGAGGTCTGTAAATAAATAAGGATTTTGGATTGTCCTTAAGTTTAGGCATATCTTTGGTACAAAAAGGAATGGAGGGTATGAACAAGCCATTCCTGGGACCTTGGTGCAAAGCAAAATCTGTACATTCCTTTCAGTTTGGGTCTTTAAAAACCCCTATTCCTGCAGAAAATAGAAGAATAGGGGCACAATGCAAAACCAGGACAAACACCACACACACTATTGTCACCCTGATTTTTTAAGTTTTTCTAAGCTTTCTGATTTTTACATTCTTGTAAATGAACTTTCTCACACGCTTTCTGTAAATAACTGATTGGTTTGCATTCTTTTATGGAGGAGGTTAAATTTGATGGGCTGTTGGTTTGTCCAGCGTCATTGAGAGGTGGCACTGTCACCCTCCAACCCACTGTCACTTTTGGAAATCTATAAATGTTGGGACTCAGAAATAAAACTTCTCTCTTTTTTACCTTGGAGAGTTGCGTGTCCACATTGTAGTCATGGACATGTTTTATGAAAAATCCTTTTGCTGGGATCCTTTCTCCTGAGAAGCTGAGAGGCCTCAGGAACAAAATATAACCAATGGTTATCTGCTGCTGTGGAATGCAACAGGGGCATCTGGGATTGGGCTCATGTGGTTGTTTTTTATTAATGGCCAATCACAGTCCAGCTGGCTCAGACTCTCTGGTCAGTCACAAGATTTTATTATCATTATTTTCTGTTTCTTTCAAGCATTCTGATGAAATCCGTTCTTCTATTCTTTTAGTATAGTTTTAGGATATAATTTTCTTTTAATATAATATATATCATAAAATCATAAATCAATCTTCTGAAACACAGAGTCAGATTCTCATCTCTCACCTCATCCTGGAGTCCCTCACAACACCACACACCCCATTACCAAACAAGTGCATAGAGAGGGCAAGAAAGCTCTTGCCGACACCCAAAATCCAAATTCCAGTGGCTTTTTTGGGTCCATTTCCTCAGTATCCATAAATCTCGTTGT